GTCCCATATAAAAAGGCGTGGGATCCTTTCTACGTTCTTCTTTCTTATATACTTCTCTACCTTAATATATTATCATGGATTCGCTACAACATCTAGAAGCCATAAACATTATGCAATTGTAATGGACGGGTTTCGGTGATCTATCTTGGAAATGAACTTTTAGATACTATTGGTATGTTTTTGGATTTTGTAAAGAAACTTAGAACTCTAACTATGGCTCATTTATTTTTCTTTTTACCGTTTATTTACCCGGTTTTATTTCATCGTACGATCGGAAATATGTGGTCCGGTGGTTATAGAATCTATTTACTTTTGAATAATTCTTGTATACAAGGTTGTTCCTACAGTCAGTGTCTCCTTTTCATTTTATCGGATCGAAAAATTTGACTACTTTGGGGAGGTTCTCTTTGCCAATTTTGGGAGGTTCCTTGATTATCTTTTTCGGAAGAATATTTTCACGTTCTTTGTACCTTAGTGGGCATTTTTGCAATTGATGGAGAGCAGATTTGTCTATGTGACCACATTCACACTCTTGTGGTTGGGATTTTGATTTTATTTGTTGGTAGTGGATTATGGATTTTATATCATTTCCTGTTAAGAGCGCTATGATCTTTTGGAATATAGGCTTTGGGAAATGTAGGATTGGGTATAAAATTGTTTTGTGGATTGATACTTGGTTTCGATTGTCTCGTTGGTAATGTTTGGTATAATTACTGAGAAGGTTTTCCCATTTGATTTGTGTGGTCCAATCTCTGTCAATTTGGTTGTCCCAAATTGAACTGCGTATCTTTTTTGTTGTTTTTTTCAAACTTTTTTTACTTTTTATGATCCGAAATTGTTTTCTAAATTCAAAAATTATGCTTTGTCTTAAATTAAGTGTTGAAATTTCCATATAGTTTTCCACATTTGTTTTAAAAAAAATTTCAAGTGGCAGATATGTTTTGGTAAGGTTTTTGATTATGTGTGGTACTAGTGTGGTTGTTGGATTTGGCTTTTTCACTTGAAATATATAACTATAGAGTTTTAATATTCGAATTCGGTTTATTAAATACGCTACCGGAGGGACTGCACATTCTATTTGTAAAAGATTGACCGGAGTATTTTTGGAAGATATAACATTAGTCAGAGGATTTTGTTTATTTCTATTTGAAATGTCTCTAATAATTTTGATGATAAATTCGATCCATAAATAATTGCGCCATATGAAATTATAGACATGATACAACTTTGGAAAAGGATGTGTATATTTTTTGCATTGGTTCCCTCATTGATGTTTTTTATTCTTGAAATTTGGCTCACAATAGTTTTAATTTTTGATAATGTTTTCTTGATATGGCATTTGAAGTTTAGTTGAGTGTCAATCCAGATTCCTAATAATTTGGCTGTATTTTCTGCTTGGCAATATTTTCTTGATGGAAGTTGAATTGATTGTATTCTTTCACTTTTTGCGCATCTTCAATTGACTAGTCGGCATTTTTTTTCCCAATCAAATGATATATCATTTGTTTTGGCCCATTTCTCTAGTTTACCAATGATTGATTTAAGTTTTGCTTCTCTTTCTCCATTTTTTCCTTCAATTAAATATGTAATATCGTCAACAAAACCGATGGTTTGATCATTCTTATCGCATATTGATGTGTATAGATNATGACTATATATCGCAAACAATAATGGAGATATTGGTGATCCTTGTGGTACGCCCAGATTAATTATGTGGTTTGTTTCGTGGTTGTGATTGTTTGTTCAGAATTTGACGTTTCTGTCTCTAACAAAAATTCTTACCCAATTTATTTCATT